CAGAGGGGAGAACTGCTGTCTGTCTTGGTGGGGAGACAGGTGAACAAAGCCAAGCAGAACAAGAATCTCACAACTGTTTCAAGATCAACTGGAGTACATATTTTGTCTAATAGAAATGCCTGCTCAAACAAAAAGAGAAAGCAAATGTATTTGAATAAGGCAAGGGTCACAAATCTTAAGTGTTCTATCTTTTTTGGCTAATACATGACTACCGGTACCTTCCATTAACAAATCTATTATTGATACAATCCAGAATGAAACAGAATGACCAGTAAGATTCAAGTTCTGCATAACTCTATTACACTCAAATGGAAAAAAACATAGACACTACTCCATAGACACTTTCAGTGAAAATGAAAGTCCACATAACTTTTCTAGGGAAAGTTATATAAATTATCTTTTCATCTAAACTTAGTATTCCTCACAATACTGAATACACATTTGGCAGACACCAGCACAACTAAGACTGACGCAAGTCATCCCATCTAATCCCTGAAAAGAATAGGAAACTTGATCTTGTGTAAATTTAAGATCCCTTAGAGGTCTATTTCAAGTATAATAAAGTACCATAAGTTGATAAATTAATATACTACAGTATCACTTTCTCCTCATTACCTTCTGCTAATAATTATGGAAAAAAATTCGAATGTAATGTAAATGACCTCAATTCTGCAAATACTTAATCACAACCAGTATACGACCCATTTCTCAACACATCCATCTAAAAATGTATTTAAAAAGCATACCAAAAAAAACCCACTAGAAATTTACTATTACTTTTACCTACACATCTGTTATATACATACGAACCTTTCAGCAGCAAAAGGCAAACAAGACACTAGAACCACTGACTTTTTTTCATAGAAATTTAATTTTATTTTTAAAACCTATTTAAAAGATGGTGATAACTTATAATAATTACTTACATATTTTGTAAACACAATCTATATTTACATGCATGTATATATGCAAATGGTTTATATATTATTAATTTGCCAAATATTCTATGTTGCTCTATTCCACTCACACAGAGAAGTAGATATGTCTTAATGTGCTTTAAATCTATTGTATATACTCTTTGATACATCTCTTTATTGAGAGTAAATCCTAGTATTCAAGCCCAAACGAATCTTTCATATGGCACATAAACTCCCAGTTTCAGTTCAGCTATAAAAGCTAAAATATTTTACCTGTCCTTACAGACATAGTAGGCCACAGCATAGCATATGGTCTGTTACAGCTACTGAGGTTTTTAATTATTATTTACATGGGCAGAGAGAACAGTTCAAAGCTACTTCCAACTGAGCATCTGCTTCCTCTTACATCTATGACAGAAGATGTACGGTATGCATAGTCCAACCAGATCAAGTGGTGTATATACATCAACTTAAACCATAACTGTGCTGCAAGCATTGCTGCACCACAGGTATAGCAATTTTTCTGTTGTTTAGTGATGGGAAGTACCTTCTCAAACAGAAAACTAGTTAGTATATTTTAGGAAATACAAAGGGATCCAAATAAATATTTAGTGAATCTTAAACTAGTAAAACAAAGAAGCTGCCCTAGGATATACTCCACAAACAAGACAAACTGTTAGGACAATCTTCGTATTAAGTGAACACCAAGCCATAATGATGAGTATTGAGCTTTATAGCAACCATACCCTAGCAACAGAAGCAACTTTTATCTAAATCACCTACTCAACTTCTTAAAACACAGACCTTTCTCTCCTTCTCCCCTCTTTACTTCCCCCTGTTACCTGTCCCCCACCACAAAAGCAGTAGCTCTCAGGACATGAAGTGCTGGGGCTTTGGAGGGATTGTGAAAAGGGACACAGGAACAAGCCTGGTAACTAACAGTGTATGGAAGTCCATAAAGTGCAGGTTTTGTAGCAGGGAGATGAGGAATGGCTGCATGAGAACAGAACCAGCTTTCTTTTTAGCCTGAATACCACAATTTCAGGAAGGAAAAAATGTGGGTGATGTTCACATCATTACTCCTAGTAGGGCACTGAGCTGGAGATACAGCGCTTGGGGGATGCTAGAGTGTGGGAAGATGTGCGTGTTTGTGAGGTAGCAAACAGGAGTCAGCCACTACTGCAGAAAGAGAGAAGAGAGCTCTGAAGCTGAAATGCTTGAGAAATCGCCACAGCAATTTAGTCTTCATGCAGGTTTCAACGGATAACAAAGGAACCTTTTTCTTCAAGTGGCACAGGAAAAGCCACATCTCTTCATTAACTGACTGAATGGTGTTAAAAAGGCACAAAAAAGGACTAGGCTTACCTCTTTGTGATACCAGCACATGTGAACAGATTCAGTTCTGTAGAGACGTAGTGGCATATGATCACAGTAAATTAGATCTTTTATTGCTTCAAAGCAGAAACAAATATATAATTTATGTGCATTCATGTATGTAAGCATAATAAACACAATCATCAGGAGAAAAGCATGAACCACTATCCCTTTTAAAAAGTTCAGGTTTTAATTAAATTTCAAAAGAAGCAGGGAAGTTGTAGAAAATAATGTAGCAAAAACAATTTTTTATCTAATGTAACAATTGAGAAGAAAACCCTTGGTCTTAAAACAATTTTTGCACCTTTTGAAGTCACTTGAAAAGTTTCCTTTTTATTTCAAGAAAAACTAATAAAAGAGTAATTTATTGGTAGTATGCTAACACCATCTTCCAGCTGGAATTCCAATGGAGTTATGAAGCAATGAAAGTAAAATCTTGAAGAAAAAGAAATTTATGTTTGTTCTGAGCATCTCTTCACTTTTAATTTGAAAGCTTTCTAAACAAAAGGGGTGTGTGGGAGGGTGTTCTTGGTTTGAAAGATTTCTAGCTTTGTCTTTTTTCTTAAACTTTGTTGTACAGATTATGAAAATATGGAGACTTAACAATGCCCACTTTAGTAAAATTTTTACATGTGTTCATGTGCTCAAGAGCCTGCTATCCAAGTCACCAGTTCCCCAAAGCATGACACAGTGGCACATGGAAAGCAGATTTCATTTTGGTAGCAATATTTGGAAATACAAAGTGGACAAGGACAAAGGACCAAACATTAGAAGCAAACACGTTCCTTTTTTTTAATCAATATCTTGTTAGACTGGTCGGTTTTACTCATTAATCTTTTGGTAAGTGAAAAATGAAATAGATTGACTATTACAGCAAAAAATAAAATTGCAAATTAAACTCATTCTAATGAAATTGCTTGCACAGAGTGCTACTTTATCACACACAACTTCCGTCAAAAGAGCTTGGACTTCAGAGTATCCATTTCTTTGAGGTCATGTATTTAGAGATAAATTCTGAATCCAAAAGACCTGAAAAAAACTTTCTAAACTCTTTCTCTTACACTATGTATATTTTTAAAGCCATGTAAGTTCCACCAAAAAAAGTAAAAAAAAGTATTTTGTGTTTAATAGCTTTGAACAAATCTGAAATTGAACTTCATTCGACTGCTGTGTTGCATCTAAATGATCACTATATTATAGCTGAGATGGGACATACAAAAAAAACCAAAAAATGAAATGCCTGGAGGTTTGCAATGAATTGTTCTTCATTTCTTCAGCAACTGCTGCATAGTGATTGATCTAGTATCGTACAACACAGGAAATTAGCAATTAAAGGCTTCCATGCATCCAGCATTACATCCTACAAATCCTGTTAACCACAGGAGCAAAATTAGAAGAACAAGATGAATCAACAAAAGTAAAAAGTGCTTATTGTAAGCTGTGTGGAATTTGTCCTTTGCTGAAAAACATGAAAACTCTGCAGAGATTGCATGCACAAGAGTATTTAATGTAGGATTATAACTCAATTAAGACAAGTATTTCTCTGATCCTGTAATTCTAAGGCATTTTGCAGATGTATGTGAATCCCAGGCTGCAATACAAATTTCTTTCTGTTCTCCATAACATAAACTCACATGTTATGAAAAGACTCATTTAGTCTTCTGTCTAGGAAAATAATCTTCACAATGTAGGTCGAAAGATATTCTACTGTTCTAGATGAATCTATAATAAGGTAAACTAAATTAAGATATACAACATTAAATGTGAATATTGTCCATATATGTAAATACAGCATTAACAATCAAGCCTAACTGATACCCTTGTTTCCTTAAGGAATGCTTGGACCATGTCCCTGGGCACAGGGGAAACAGATTCCCAGCCCAGCACGAGCCATGCCAACCCCAGAACTGGAGGCAGTGTCACACACAAGGCTGTGCACGCAAGTTGCACAAGATTGCAACTTCAGCCTCCAAGCTAGCCCGGAGATTGCTGCGCTGTGCTTCGCTACAGGAATAAACATGTCCTTTCTCTGTTCCAATATGAACAAAAGTGCATCTACACTATCATTAATCATATGACACTGTTTTGCTTCAGATTTGTCAAAACTAATTCCGGTTTGCTGAATTTATCTAGACTGGAAGAAGAGAAAAAGGTTACATAAACTTTGCTAACATATCCAGACAAATTAAATTGTTAATCCATGCCTAAACAAAAGGTCACTATTAGCTCTAAAATTTCTTAGCTAATCTCTGACCTAATTTTGACCTCTCTTGTTAATTGCAGAAATGCTTTCAGTTAATGTATTGGTTAGCTGTGTTTACACCCTCCACTTCTGTAGTTTCCTGCCTTGCAGCTCATAAATTAAAGACAAAATATCTTTTTCTAAGTCTAATTAGTACCCAATTAGCTCCATGTTGTTACCTAGAGTGGAACCGATAGTAAAGACAAATATTAAGCATTTTCATCTGTTTCATGTAGGAAGCATTTATGAACATGAAGAAAGGAACATCAAAAACTTTATTTCATTTTTTTTTCCTCCAGATCATAAAATATTACTTTACAAAGCTTGTAAAAATACCCAATTCTTCAACTTCTATTAATTCCCATTAGAAAGAGGTACAGTTATAACATTGCTAGAAGAGAAGACCTAATTAAAGAACACATGCAAATCTAATGGATCTGCAATCATCTTAGTAGGTTGTATCCAGACATAATCATTTCTCATTGCATCATACTTCTTACAGAGTTGTTTACACTGGGTTTGTTTAATTCCTTTAGTATCATAACAATTGCATATCAGGGTATGGCGCATCAATATCCATAAAATGTCCCCTTCTGTGAAAGAGTAGTTTTTGTTGAAGTAAAAGTGAAGCACCTGAGTTATAATTCCAAAAATAATTTCTCTACATTCACTTTTTTTTTTTTAAGTCAGAAGTGTTCAGGTTCTGGTAAAAACATATGCGGGCTTAATTTAAAAATTAAGCCTGAGAGACAAACTAAACCCGACTGCATTGTAAAATGTATATAAATTTATGATAAGGAATTCTAATAATGTAAGAAATAAAAAACTCAAAGTAAAAAAGAACTATACAAATAGCATGCCTTATGTTCATTTGAACTAAGTAATATAAGGAATTACAGTTTGAAAACCTACTGTAATCAGATACTGAAGTTATAATGCTCAGCAGAAATTCAATATACTTCTAAATGCTGAAGCCTTACCATTCCATCACATTCATATTCCGTGACTTTTCGTACTGATAAAAGCTTCTCCAAAGTAAATTTATCCAGTCATATTGAGGATCATACTTGTCACCCAAGAGATAACATAACTCTAAATTATGCTCAGAGTTTTCTTCTTCTTTTCTATAGGAAATGAGAATGATCTTCTATCATCTGAACAAAGGCACCTGGCCTACTGCAAAAATGAAAAAGCTTGTCCATTACTGTTTGTCACATTGGTAGACAAAGTCTTACCTATGAAGGGCCTAAAAGTTGTTTTATTACAGTATAGTCAACTGTTTGGATCAAATCCAGATTCATATTCATTTGCTAGCTGCAAATAAATCCCACTGTACTGTCAGTACAGTTTTCTTATATTTTAACATTATTCACCAAAAGCTCCATTCTTCTGAGTTTGCGCTTATTCTTTGGCATTGGCTTGTCATATAAACCATTTTTGAGAAGATGCTCCTTGCTGTGATGGATCTGGGCACCATGCTGAAGCTGAAAAGAGCATAAAGCTTGAAGTGGACGGAGTATAGTCTGCAGAAAGATGAAGGGGTGGGGGGAGACAAAAAAGCCAACTTTTTAGTAAACTATTTTAGAGGCATCAATTATTACAGGTTTTGTATTCAAGGACTACTTAAAAATGCTGATAAAATATAATTTTGATGATAAATGCTGATAAAATATAACCTTTGGAGACAGAGGGCACAGCTGAATAAGAGATGTACTAAAAAGAAGCCACATAGTAGACATATATCCACCTACCTGCTGTCGTCCCTTACTGCTTCCTTGGACCCACTCAATCCTGACTTCAGTCCCAGCTACATTACTCTAAGTTATGACTTTAACTTGACCTTAGCAATGGACTACGATCAATTACTGAGGCTCAGCCAACAAGTTGTAATAAAATAAGTAACAATAACTAAGCTGTTTGTGCTTGCATCATGAAAATACCTTAAGGCAGTGTTTTAGAAAGAGAGGAGGGACTCATGATCAAGGCAGCTGGACTGCTATCCTGGAGACTGGACTGTATCCCTGCTTCTGCCCAGTGATATTATGTAGGACTAATGAAGCCACACAAACAAAATTTATCTCAAGTGGTTCCTAACTGTATGTTCTTCATTTTCTGGTTGCCTGACTCAGTATCACGGGCCTTCATGTGCAGATGTGTAAAGCAATCACAAATGTAACTGCAGTCAGCAGGAGATGAGTTTCTACCAAGTAAAATGTGACTCTTCCAAGCACACAGGAAAATGAAGTGACTTACATTGGGCATGAAACTAAGTGCCCAACTTTAACTTCCATGGCTCTCAACTTCAATTCATCATCTTATATGCTGGGAATAGCACTCATTTAATTCAGAGAGGGTATAAAAAAAGTGCACAAATATTTATGAATCTCTTGGCTATTGCAACATTTATAGAAGCACCTTTGAGAAACTGATAGTTTTGCCTTTGAAAAGTAGGCTGGGCCAGTTCTGAGTGGTAGGGATGAAACAGAATACAGGACTGTGAGTTGCAGACACTAACAAAACATTCACCCTGGACCTGAATGAGACAGAAGTCCTAATGAAGGAAAAATATGCCAATGTTGTTCTAGCACACCGAAGGAAAAAGTAAATATACAAAACCCTCTTTTAGCATAAAAGCATATGGTAGCCATACTGTCATAAAAGACATACAAGTTTCTAGAAAAGTTTCTTTACATAGAGTTCCAATTTCTGAGCCATATTTTCTTGTGTGGCCACACACTTTGTCCCAGTCTGGTTCTAAATGCAATTGATTTAATGTTGAGGTGACTCTCTAGTGTCACACAGGCAGACACAGGGGTGCCATACTCTACATCATGACAATTGCAGAAGCAATTTTTGACCTGGGAACCTTTTTTAGCAGGCAGAGGTCAAGTACCAAAATATTCATTATCTGATGGAGAGAGAGGGATATGAGCACCCCAGGGTGGACACTAGAATGTAGTGAATACATGGATAAGTTTTAAATCTCTTTCACATACCCTTCTGTACTACATTCTGGGCACACAATCAGATTGCAGACCTGAGTCTATGGTGCAAAACTACTCATAGGTCTTTTTCAAAAGGATTATTAAATTTGTATTACTAATGTCAGCAACAAAAGATTAAGAAGGACATTATCTTAATAACCTCTTCCATCACAGACTAGTGGGATCACAACTTGCAAGGAAAAGGCTAATGTCCAATTAGTATTCTTTGACCTAGGATAAACTTAAACTCAAGGCTGTTAAGTCCCAAATTCCTCCGATGACACCTAAGAGTTGTGAGCTGGCTGGTAGGAAGACATAACCCAGTGGGTTGCATTCCATGGCTGCAGAAGTGCAGGAGGTCAGTGGGGCAGGCTTACAAAAGCATTTTATCTTCGAGCTAGCTATGAGGGTGTATTCAGATCATCTCTGCCATCTAGTTTTTGCAGAAAGCAACTTACTACTTTCCATGCAGTAATATACTCAATTGCCTGTCTCAAACTGGATCAGTTTTGGGGTTTTTGAGAGTTGAAGATCACCCTGCTGTGCTTTGACTTCAGGGGATCATTTAAAAATACTGACCTATTAAAAAAAGATAATGGTTATTTGAGTCCAGTAAATATCCTGAGACCAACATACACTAAAAAGAAAATTAATCCTACCTGACTGATAACTAAATGAAACTTTTTAGAGTCTAGCACCAGTTACTCTCAATGACATTTGTCAACCCAGTAACTTTAAATTCAGATATTAACTGAAGAAGTAAACAATAAATTTAAAGGTAGTTAAATAATTCAATAGCCTACGTAAAAGAGATAGAAACTTTACTGATACTAATCTCCAATTTTTCTTAAGTTTCTCACACCTTGGAAATATTCTTCCTTTTTAACAAGTTATTTCTAAAGGTATTTTACAAATTCCCAAGAGCCTCAACTGATAGTACCTGAAGTAATACTATTCCCCATTATTAGAATATGAAGAGACTGGTGAAAATATCTGAATGTTTCTATGACAATTTTGTTCTCAAAGGAAGAAAATAAACATTCTAAGGTGTGTATACATATATACCACCTCCTAACATCTATTATAGGATGTACAATTTAAAATTAATAAACTCTCCTGACTTTAAGTGGTTTCAGGTTTTATCTACCAGTAGGAAAAAGCACAAGAAAGTCAATGGCACAAAGCGTTCAAGACCCAGCACAAAAGTTTAATTCCAAACACTGCTTGCCACATTATTCAGTACCAATGAATCACTAATCAACTAAATAATCATCAAGTTTTTCTGGCTTCATGAAAATTAGACATCAGAGTGATTATAGGCTGTAATCTCTGCCAAGCTTACTAATATCTTCCTTTGCTACAAAATGCTAATCATACTTTAGAGTGAGTATAACTTCCATTACATGAGTGCAACATGTAAATTCTATACATTACAGCACATTAGCATGTGTTGGTCTCGGAATATTTACTGGAGTCAAATAACCATTATCTTTTTTTAATGGATCAGTATTTTTAAATGATCCTCTGAAGTCAAAGCACAGCAGCATGATCTTTGACTCTCAAAAACCCAAAAGCTAATCCAGTTTGACACAGGCAATTGAGTATATTACTGCATGGAAAGTAGTAAGTTGCTTTCTGCAAAAACTAGATGGCAGAGATGATCTGAATACCCCCTCATAGCTAGCTTGAAGATCAAATGCTTTTGTAAGCCTGTCCCACAGCTAACAGTTAACTGTTAATTACAGTTATTTAACATAGTACATAAAACAAAGTAGTTTTCTATACACTATAGTTAAAAAATACCCAAAAGAAAACTGTTTAAAAAAAAAATCAATCTAGCATGTTACATTTGTACAATTTAGTATATTACATGTGCCTGGTACACAGTCTATGTTTTGAAATTTTGCAATAAGAAATGTCAAGTGAACTTAGAATAACATCACAGGAAGGGATAACAACAGTGCACCTCTGCACTATTTGCCCTGCAACATACACAGTAGTACTTCTATTTGTTTTGGGCTAAATCCCCAAGTGTCATCTCTACAGATTTTTATTCTGTATTGTGGCATGCATGTATCTGGTGCCTTATAAACCAACCATTTTAAAAAAGTAATGTACAGCTGAAGAGAACCTGATTCACTCCATCATATTTAGAACTGCAGGGGAAAGTGTGCAAGAAACTAGTACAGGATGAGAGAATGTGATGGGAAAGAAGAAGGAGGTAGAAGGAAAGAAGGAACTGGAAGGCACTAGGACTGCTGAGTTAAAAATGCATAAAAGGTACAAAAGAGAAACAGTGACCAGAAAAGATAAATGGAAAAAAGAGGGAAAAACAAAAGGGACAGGGAGTAAAAAGTACAGGAAAAGTCTTAAATCCTGAGACAAATGAACCTGAAGACTGCATAGTGAAAACTTGTAGAAGTGGAATTGCCAGGGGAAAGCACTAGACAACTAAAGAAAAGGAAGAGGAAAAAAAAAACAAACAAGGAAAAAAGAGGAATTGAGGAGATGGGTTGAGAAGGTAGCAGTTGTTTTCAATAACCAATCTATTACTCCATACACAAATGGGCTACCACGGTAAAAATGGTCTGCAAGATAAGTAGTCTGCATTCAGCCTTGATGGACATTGCAGCACCAAATACAATCTGTTACAGGACATGATCTGACCCTAACTGGTACTTTAAACATCATCAAAGCAAGATTTTTAGCCCTGAATCTTGCCCAGGTTTACCTTCAGACAACTCTTTGTGGTGAAAGAGCCAATCTAACTCCATTATGGGATAGAACAAAAAATACCATACTAGAATTTAACATACTCAAAAGAGGAATAGCAAAACAATCATTCAAGACCTTTGTACCTAACAAGTTCCCTCAGCAATCTAACAGCAATGTTGAATAAAGAATAGGAAAACTATAGAGACTTTTGGAACACGACAGGAAAGAGTCACAGTTATCTGAACATGATAGAGATAATAAACATCTGAAGAAAAATAGTTTCTATTGGTACATTCTTGGTTTAGTTTGCTGTGCAACAAAACCCTCACAATGCCATTAAGATTTTGAATGTCAAATGTGACATTAATAGCTAAGTACCTTTGCAGCCCTTCTACTATTCATAAAAGAAAAACTCAGATGTTTAAAACTACGTACCTCTTGTATACTCTTATTTTTTTCCATGATACTAAGAGCAACAGCTGCACATTCAAGTGTAGACAGACAGGTGTTTGTTGGCTGAGTACGAATTACATATTGACTTGAAATGTTGGGTTTTAACTGCACCTGAAAAATAGCACACTCTACTAAAATAAACAGGTCAGTATAGCAAACAAAATACTTCCTTCCTACACTAAGCAAAACACAGGCCCTTCCCCTCTGTGGTCAGTCACCTTCTTTCCATTTTGCTGTTTTGTCTCCCAGTAGCCAATGACTTTATGTTACTGTTAAGTATAATACTATAATACCTGTGAGTTGCCATCAGAGACATGAACAGCTCATTTGTTACTGTACAAACACATAAAGAAAATACAATTGTTTGTTTAGAGAAAGACTGGGTGAAATTTTAGCAACCCATTTCAGTTGCCATAGATATCCTATACAAAATTAAAATTATTCACTTATGCTTGTTTTATTGTACACTAAATACACACACAGTCCCATACAATAAACAATGACTGTATAGTCACTGACACTATTTACCTTGGTTAAATATTATTTGTCAAGTTCTGAATGAAAGACTTTTAGAAACTACATTTACTCATATAACATACTAGGGCACTGATTAGAACTATTTGTTTACCTAAATCATGTTTGAAAATGATCTGTTGGTTCTGCCTCATATGATAAACACTCTATACTATCACACAAGTTAAAGGTTTTGAAGAAAAAGAAATTTAATTCAACCACTACACTGCCTGTTTTATCAGTTCCAAAAGCTTTTACTGAGCTTATAAACAGTGGTTGAAACATCAAAGAATTTACATTATTATATGGTGTGTCAAAATTCAGATATTATTCCTTTATTCCTAAACTTTCCATCTCCACATATGTTTAAAATATTATTTGCCAAACAAGTTAATGTTTTACAATGTTGTCACTATTCTTAACCAAAAATTATCAGTTCCTTTTCCAAAAATTGTATTACAGTACCATAAACCCTAAGGAGTTATTATAAAAGAGCAAGGCAATTTTCTTTTTTTTTTATCTTATCCCAACAACTGTCTTTTATTTTTCCTTCTTCTCAAAAAAATGAGTGACTGTTCCCTATGGCCACCACAATATTGCTCCCATTCTTCATGCCAGACATTTTTCAGCATTCCTCACTTCATTCAGTATTTTCCCTCTTCACTTTTCCCATTTTTGCTTTCACTTGTAATGCTTCATTTTCCTTCATCTCTTTTACATGCAATGACCCATTCTCAGCAGTTCAAGGTATCTCATTTATAAAAGAGAAACTCCAAGCCGCTGAAGAAACCTGAATGAATAAGATCAAATTCCAATGGTTTACCTGATCCCAATGTAATGGGAATTAAAAATAAATAAATAAAAAGGTGACAAGAGAGGAAGAGAGCCATTCTGGAAAGGACAAATAAGTTAGCTATAAAAGCTCAATATACTCAAATATAGGAAAAGACAGAGAAATGTACCTTTGTGAGAGAAGGTCCTAACTTGTTTATCAAAGGAAACTTTTTTTTTTTTTTTTTTTTAATGCTGGTCTTCTTATTGGGTAGGCTTGAAGGACCAAAACATGCACATTTCAGAATGTTTTAAAAGTTTCCAGCAAGGATTGTTTACATAGTTTAGAGAGATCACCTTCAACAGCCAAAGAACACACACTTGGTTTGCAAAATTGAGAAGCTGAACTCATGTTAGTTGTGTAAAGAGCACAGCATACTAACATTATGATTTTTGCATTATATAAAAATACATTTGTATTCTTTCCACAACTGTAATACTGGAAATGTCATTTTAATTAAATAATTTTAAAATCACATCTTCTAAAATCTATTTTGTACCCTTGAGTGAAGATCGATGCTTTTGCTATTTTAAAGCTGCTTAGCATAATAATTACCTGGAATGCATTGTATTTTTAATCAGGTTATACAATTACCGACTGTTAATTAAACTGAAAATGCACCAGTGGTCTCAAAGCACATATAAATGTACCTTGCCTGAACTTACTTACTATTCTTAGATATTTGAAAGTAATGGTTACAGGTGATAATATAAAGAGTTATTTCCTGCAAATTCAATGGTCATCCCCACTTAAAACTCATTTTCATTTTCCGCACCTATTCAGCATATTTCTGCAAATGAATTGGCACAATATATGACAAAATACTCCACGAATGCCTATTACTTACTACAAAGTCGAACCTAATATTTTATATTTAAAGCCAAGATAGTTGAAGTAGTTGATTATTCCATGTCTGCAAACTCATTGTCTTTAGTCTCTAGCTCTGTACTCTTGACTGTTGAAAGAAAAGATTTTTACACCTAGCACTTCATTAGCAGATTATGCTTGCTGTTACACTATAGTGGAAGCCTATCATACAATCTTTAATTTATAGTCATACTGTAGAATTTTTATCTACCGTATGAAAGATGTTAACATTTACTTGGATATTCAACAGCAAATTCTGTCCATATGCTGGGGAACAGATCCAGGGCAGATTTAAGAATGAAGGTAGTGGATACATACTAGCCTTTATCAACTACCTTCTTCAATTTGATAGTGAAAAATTAAAAGAGAGTGAATTGATTTAGGGGAGAAAATGTAGAATTTGGACATCTGTGTATGTAATGAAATGCAAAAGAAAATTAAAATGAAATTAATATTTTCATTTATTGTTCCTCAAGGTTTGCTCAGTTTTATGCTCCCTTTACTGGGACCATGTATGGATATCCATCATGACAGAGTAGGAAGGCTAGTTATTTCAAGTATACAGAGATCGATGCTGGAGGGAGCTTTTAGTCCCTACTTAGAAATTCCTAGATAGGTATTAAAAAACAGGGTAAACTGAGGCCATTGTTTCTCCAGCATGTAACCTGAGCAGCAGAGCAGGCACATATCCACACTTTTTCTCAACAGCTGACAGCCACACTCTTCACAAAGTCTTTCTACAGAGGTTGAAACCACCTCCTGGACTACCTGCAGGCACACTGGCTTCCCCCTATTCGACATGGGCAACAATGCCTTAAGGCTTTTTTTTTTGTAGGAGCTAGGAATAGTTTTGTCTGCTGGTTTCTATACTTCATTTCTTGAGTCTCATGCTGAAAAACTCCTAAGATCATCAGCATTCCAGAGAAGGGAAAATTATTCATGATTGCAAGACAACTTCTATGGAAGAAAAGCTGCCTGCACTCTGCCTTACACCATGCAGCCGAGAAGTGTGTAAGGGCAGCTCTCAAACAGCTGACAATGTACGAAAGGGCAACTTTCTATTTCTAACAGCAACATCATCAGCAACCAAATTTCTTCTTTCCTGGGAAGAGTCAGAGAGGATGGAAACAAATGGTCCCCATCCATTTTTCTGAAAAATGACATTCACTGGGATGAGAGGTAAATACCACAGAGAGAGAACACAGTGTTGGAGATCAGGGGAAGAATACCTGACCAGGACAACTCCCTGGTACAGTTTGTCCCTTAGGCTTCTTTCAACAAACATGCATTTTACCCTACTCTTTACTCCAGAGCAGCACAGTATCTAAATAAGTGATCCTCGGTCACCTGAAATACCGCTAGGGTAGCCTTTGTCTATCACAGATTGGATAGACTCACCAAACGACTGATTGTCAGTCAGAAACTAGGTACACTCACTGAATGAATAAAACACACAGTGAGGAGCTCCACCAACTTAGAGCATAAATCGAATGGTGAGACAAAACCAAAACAACATAGAAACCAAACTGAATTCATATAGTTGATACATATTTCAGACATGGGAAGAATATCTTCTTGAAAAAAATTGCCTAGATATATGAAATATTTACTGTTCTCAAACATGACTGGGTAGGAGGATGACTTCTCTCATTTTCAGCCAGCCTTGCCTTTTGTGGAGTTACTAGTTTCAGGTAGGGTATTTCAGCTCATCAAAGCTTCTGCACTACCTAGATGTATTAATTCTTTGTCTGTCACCTGCATGTATCAAATCCAGCTGAACAAGCTTAATTCACAGTTATGGAAATGTTCCTCCACAGTTAATGTAAACAAAATCAGATCATCTACCCCTTACATTACACTTCAAAAACTCAGAAAGGGTATACATAAATACCCTATTTAAGTACATTTCAAAACAATAATCATGATATTTTATAACCACTTGTGCATAAAATGATAAACATACAATTTACTTTTTTTTTTTTTAGCTGTCAAAGCAATTTGCAAATCATATGCACACTTTGGAATAACTTCAGTTACTAAAAAAATACAGCAACATCAAGTTGAAAAAACAGCAGCCTATTTAACACCACTCACCAAAATAAACAACAGTATAAGACAGAAGATGAAAACTATTGCAACCAATTCAAACTAGAGAGAGGAATTTAGATAAGCTGAATGTAATTACTCACTGGAATGTAGCCAAAACACTGAAATTAGCATACCTATTCTCTTTATAAGTGCAAGGGAGTTTGGGGACTTAGTTTCCAAGCCATCAGAAGCATGAAGCAACACATACAATCAAGTTTCGTTTCTATGTGTAACTCAAGACCCAGGGTTTCCAAAAGCCTGAATGTCAGCAATTTTCACAAACTGTTACATTAACTTAATAAACACTGGCTTCTCTGCCACCGCATCACCCTCTTAGCAAATGCTACAGCCTTTGAGTATTTACAGAAGATCTGAACCACAGTAAAAATAGTAACCCTTCAGTAATTCTCAGGTCTGAGTTCCTCTTCTTCCAAGGCCCTCTTTGGAGATCCCCCAGGCAAGTCACAACCCAGCTGGTCCTGGGTTCCATTCAGAACTGACGGAAGCAAAAGTGTTGCCTTGATGGGGTCAAATACCTGCTGTTTGAAATTTTAAAAATTTAAGTCAGTAAAGACCAGCAACTGATTTCTGTTCTTATTTTAAACATTAGGAGTGGAGCTCTTGCAGAAAACTCCAAGTGCTATCCTCAGTCCTCTCCTTACTGTCAATATCCTTATCATTTTACCTTTTCTGTGATGATTTCTTCACCAATACTTTTACTAGCTTTACTCTCCAAGCAGAATCCAGCATTATGCAAAATTGTATCTGGAAAACAGTGCATCCCCAAGAGCACAGAAAGACTATAAAGTTA